TTCGCAATGCGGATGTGGACGAGTCTGCATCGGTGCAGTGACAGTACATAATCGATTATAGCCACGTACCATTGCTTGTTGATTTTTCTGGCTGTGACTGGATAATAAAGTTCAGAAGAACTTTCTTATAGCAATCTTTACTGTCTATGGGCACTTTTCCACCACACCAAGTACCGTACCAAAAGTACAGTACTTATAGGTGTTGGTTTTCTGCTGGCGTAAAAACTGGTACCTGGTTGTAGTATATTATAGAGCTGGACGATGTGCAGTATTAATATCAACAACGCATGTAATGCACGTGCAATTCTCACATCGCTAGTCATCTAGATTAAGAGCAGCCTTTTTCCTTACTTTCAATTCTGTATGGACATTATAGTGCAAGGGATTAAAGTTTTGCTAAAATATTTTTACTCTGTTACTCTGTCACTGTTACTCTGATTATTCCTTTTCAAGATTATCTATTGTATGTTTAAAAATCAGTTTAAAGTTTACTTCCACTGCTTTTGCATGAGTGCTGCATGTATTCTGAGACAGTCATAATCATTTTCATCCTTGCTGTTTAAATCACTCCTGAACTCTTTTTTTGCTTTATAAAATACCCCAATATTAGGGTGACCCTTACTGTATTTGCAGGTAAAAATTTAAATTTCATAAAATCTAACTCTGACCCCCTCAAAAGCATCCATCTAGTGTAAAACAATTATGTGTAAATTTTCATGAAGATATTTTGATATTTAGGGGTTGCTCAAGTACCCCAAACTTCATAATTATGGTATTTTGAGTAGATTACGATTCCGAAAGCTTCGACTGTACAATAAAAGGTTAACACATATGTTTTAATAAAGCTAAATCAAAACTTTATAATAGTAATAATCTGATGCAACACAAGTTTCACTGATACACCACTATGAATTACAGGTGTTTTGAATGCAAACACAAACATCGGCTAGTATATTTCCCTTTTCTCTTTGTGCAATTAGAAACGCTTTATCTTCTTCTATTTTTATAATGTCAAGAGCATCTGTGGGACAGATTTTCAGAACAATCTGTGAATTCTGCTTCATTTTGATGCTGTGTTTCTGTACGTCTTGAGGCTTTTTTCCTCAGTGGTTGCCAATGTTTAAATAGCGCCTCAAGTGTCTTAAATGAATCCTGTTTATGGCGGACTGGAATTCTAGCACGACTCCAGAAGTTCTTTCTACCGTAACTGCTGATGCTTCACGAACCGCCGCCTTCTCTTCTACATGTAGATAAAGGAAGTGTCTCAGAGCCTGCTGATTTGGTGGTAACTTCAAACCTCTAATTTCTTCAACATACGTTCCTAACAAATATGCTGCATTTCTGCTTTTGCTACATTATCAGCCATACTGATAATCCTGCAAGTACACAACAAACCCACGCTTATTTTCTGAACCGGTTCAACACACTTTCACTGTGCAAACTGAGCTATTTAATTTATAATATTCTGAGCCTGATAAGTCAGAAAAACCATCAATATTGTGTACTTGATCTGCATATATTTTCACTGCTTTTTGTACCAAAATAGCAACAAAAAACACAAGATGATGAGATCAAAGCATGAAAAAAAACAGCTAATAAAGATCTTTTATGTTGTCTGCTACCAGATGTAAACATTAAACAGGAAACAGTATCATCTTTATCAAGTTCTTCAATTAAACACAGTAAATAAGTAACAGTCAAGCGTCTGCCTGGTGTCATAGTCATGCTACGCAGTGTGTAGGTGTGCTCTCTGTTCGGCACTCCTTGTACTTAACTTTGGACTGATTGAGCTACCCATAAGTATTAAAATATTTTAATGAAACTTTCCAATCTGTGCTTTCTCACCAAATAGACAATTTATGGGGGGGTCAGACCAACAAAATGAACAACTTGAAAAATAAAGGACACCCTACGCAATATTTATATCAACAAAATCACATTGCGATATTTAAAAATTTTCCAAAACGGTGCTGTCCTAGTAGCTATATTATACAAAATACTTTATATTTTGTCACACCATCCTGATCATCTGACCAGATTGCAATTTAAGCCTGGGTCTCTTCAGTTGTCCATGCATCCATTATGATTACTTTTATTTATTTATTTTTTACTTTATCATTGGTATCTGAGGCTGCAGCTGTTTTCAAGGCGGTGTTTGTATTGTGTTTCAGAAGCAGGCTATTTGCATAACCAATTGACAAAGAAAGCATTTCAAGTCCCACCCTGAAGTACCAAAGTACCCCAGCTGGTTTGGTACTGGTGCTGGAACTTTTGTTATGCATCCTGATTTCGAATCGAATCGTCGACATGATAATCGTAATGGAACCGTGAGACCAGTGAAGATGAACAGCCCCAGTTCCCAGCATGAAAAGGGCAGGTGGATGCTCCCCTCAGAGGCTTGGCAGGGTCGTACCATGTTTTTGCTATGATTCACTGTTTGATTTGTGGGCACCTCCTTAGTTATGAGGCTGAAGTGTGAGTCCCATGTCTCTCACATCAGTAATAACAATGAGAACATATGATGTCAGAATCCACAGACACACCCAGCTAACCGGATCCGCTGCATGCTTAAGCCAGGTTGTGATACGACCTCTCCTCTGGGCATGGCCTGAACGCCACCCCCCCACCCCCCCCAGGCACATAAATATTGCCTGACAGGCCCCAGCTGGCTCTAGCCACCATGACGGCTCCGACTTTTGTTCCTGAGAAGAAAGTGCGCGTTCTTGCGTAATCCACAGTTTCCTTGAACAAAGGAAGCCATATTTCATGACATCCCTTCCTTTGGTGGGGCATTCAGTAGCTGCAAGGCTAAAACTCTAGCTTTTTTATCAAAATCCCCGGAAGGTTCCAGAAATTTGTCTGTCTTCTGTAAATATATAAAATATGTAATATTACTTCCTCCCCCAAAGGCATCTGAGAGCATAAAGTGTCCTCTTTACATCTCAAACACATTACGTTTGGAGCCTGTTACTACTAGTAAAGTTTGCACGATGTGCATCTTGGGTGTGTATTTAATGACAGTCCTGTCATCATTTATTAAGAAGGCTTTAATAATAAAGAAAAAAAATCCGGATGATTCTTTCATTTTTGCCCAATTTCTCAGTCCCTCTCTCAGAAACTAGCGTAATAAAATCATATGTGACAATTAGCATACATTTTTGTGTTATTGCAGCTGTTGTGAACAAAGCAGCTAGTTCAAGGGTACAACAGGAGTGTCCCGTGACCTGTGACCATGCTGCCTCTGCTCCCCATTGCCGGGGCCGTTCCCTTTCCTCCCTGGGTTACATCATCCTTCTAAGGGCTGGATGAGGTCAAGACCTCTGTGCCCCATTGGCGCGGCGGCTATGCCCAGGCGTGTCTGCCCACTGTGCCCCTACCTGGCGCTAAGCACCACAAGGGGCAGGCTGCTTCACAGCTGCTAATAGCACCCTGTGAAAAATAACCTGCAGGACAGAAGACAACAATTAACCATTGTCTGGTCTTGTACCTGCATATATATGCAAGGTCTAGCCACATAAAATAACTTACAAATAACGTAAATCTTAAATTTGACCAATCCCTTTTATGTTGTGGGGCTGTTTCTCCTTCTTCAAAGCACCTTCATACCGCTGTGTTTTCGTTCCTGTAGGAAGAGCACCCTCCTTTTTCAGCTCATTGATTCCTAAAACATGGAAGGAAACCAGCCGCGAGTCAGTCATGTTTCCGCGCGGTTCCATTGTCTGAAATGTCGGTCCGTTCCATGGGTCAAACCGTAAATGACCCGCGAGTCGACCCACACCCGACGCCTGTCACTCCTGCTCATGGTGTAGCTACAGGGGCTCACCTACCCCTACACTGTTATGTTCACCTGTTGACCTGTTATGTTCTACTGCGGCCCAAATGGACTCTTTGAGTTGGACCCCACATACAACAGACCAGCACCTGGCCGTACCAAATGATTATCAACTGAGTAATGGATGAAGACTGCATCAGTCTCTAACATAACCTACTAAACGTTGTTAAATCGTGTGAGGAAGGGGTGGTGTGGGGGTGTGGGTGACCTCACTGTGGCCTCCGGCCTCCAGGGTGATGGGGTCTTTCCTGCCCCTCCACCCCACCCCCATTAGCAGTGTGTGTGTGGCTTTCCTCCCGCTACCCCGCTTCGTCTTTCAGGCCTCTAACATTGGCGTTAGTGTGAGACTGTGTCCCCTGTCCTGTGTCCGGTGATTTTGGAGGAAACAATCTTAAACAGAAAATAGCTGTAAGTGCACTGAACAGAATCCTTATTGAGGTGGAGACTGTTAAAGTGCGCAATCATTTTATGAGCCTCTTACTGCTGAGAAAACATAGTTTTGCACACTACATGTGCCACCTAGTGTCAGAGGAATATAACTGCAGTATTTTAAGTATTTGAAGGTACAATTTACTGCATTGTTGTAGTAATGCAATTAGGTGTTTGGCCCCATCTATATAGCTGCTTTTCTGGCTTCCCTGCTTCTCCATCATACTGTCTTCCTCATCTAAATGGACTGCCTTCAGCTTCTGCCAGCCACCTATGAACAGCTTCTTGAAAAGTTTCCCACCGGCACCCCCTGCTGGTGGTACTTGGCTATCACCATGTGATGACGCATGATAACTAAACTGCAGCATCGCCTGAGCTAGGCACTGCACCTAGACCAGTCACCCTTTTGCTAAAGAAATGTACCTTACGATGTCCTAGATGCTGTCCTCGGTGAGCTATTAAACGTGTTACTGTACACCGTGTGCATCGTTAGCACGCCCCAGTACAGTGTTCACATGGCTGTTTATTAATAATCCTTTATTAATACCTCCTTCCTTGGGGGAAGCTCAGTCCACACTGTCACCTCCACGTCCCGCACCCTCTGAGAGGTGCATGGGGAGCATTTTTTAAGGATTTCTGTCCAGATTTTCTTCCCAGAAGTCTGAGACTCTCTGCAGACATAATTAATGCTCCCTATTGAGTGTATTTTATTGAGTATATTTTATTTATTTTTTGTCAGATCTGAATATGGAGTCCAACCCATCGGACCACCCCCGGGCCAGCACCATATTCCTGAGTAAATCCCAGACAGACGGTAAGTTACCCTGGATTCCCCCTGTTAGTTTAAATGAGGCTGACACTAAAAGGTTCTTCCTACATGAGTGATTAGTGACCTATGGTGACACTGCACCCTCTCCCATATTCTCATGGGCTGTATATCTGGGAACATGTCCCACCCCAGCGAATCAGAGTACAGATCTACGAGTCATGTGATGTTCCAGTTTCTGGGAATAAGTCCCCTTGATTGGGTGTTAAACCACCCGGTGGTTTTGGGCTGATGTCAGCATCTTTCTGTGGTACGGCGTGTCACCTTAGGGCATTCAGCCTCATGCTCTGTAAGATGCTTGATCGCTCAGTGTTGACCCTGTGACCATGACAGAAATGACTTCGCCTCTCTCTTTCAGTTGCCGTGGCGAACAAGAGAGGTAAGGGTGCGTGTGTCATCAGGCGTGCCATGCTCCGTGTGTTTTTATACGGCTTTTACACGTGTTGTTGCCGGCTTTCTGTGACCCTGCTCACCACTGTCTGCCCTGTGGGTCACGTCACGCTCCATGTCTCTGTAACCCTAACCCACCCCGTCCCCCTGCCCATAGTGATGCCCGGTCCCCTCTGTCGAGGTGCCATCAGCAGTGTTAGCATGATGAACGTTCATGTCACTGTGGCGGCCTTCTTGGGAGCATTAACTGTCACCAGAATACACTCGACATGTCAGAAACGAAAGCGGGGCACGTCGGACTCCTTGATCCGCTCACCTGGAAGGGCGTGGTGGGAGATGGGGCTTTCAGAGCACATGTCAGTCCGGCAAGAAATCCTGCCTTTCCGGTACTGCCCTCGGCCCGCTGGCTTCCCGTGCCCTGCGTTTCGCCCAGTCAGCCCCGCCTGCCCCCTCCAGAGACAGGAAGCCAGATGCTGGCTGGACCTGCCCAGGGCGAGGAGGCCTTGTCTCGCTCGTCGGCAGTGGCTGTGCTTTTTAGATGGTGCCAGATTCAGCACTGGACCCGCAGTGACCCAAAACGGCCTGGTGAATATCAGGGATGACCGATCACCATCAATGTTTCTTAAATGGCCGTACATCTGATCCTGTAATAACTCTGAGGTTCTCTAAAGTGGCACAAAGCAAAGCCTGACTGTCAGTAATGATAATGTTCAGACAGCCGGTTACGCTGTGATGGACAATAAGATGTGACAGAGAAATTATGGGAAAACATGGATCATTTACAGTGGTATTAGGTTGGCAACTTGACACTGTACAACCTATCAAAATAGGAATGATGTAAAAATAAACCAAATAGCCCCTTTTCCTTAGCGATGGTGAGCCAGTGAGGCTGCAGTACAACAGCAGTGCCCTGTGTGAGATCCGCCTGGCTGTCCCTGCTGTTAGGGGGCGTCTCCCTGTGTCCCCGTGTGACTGTGATGCGGAGCTCTGTGTCTGGGCCCCTCGCAGGGCTCCGGATGAGACCCATTCGGGCCTTTATGTGCTGCTGTGTGTATCTGCCTGTCTGTCTCACACTGCACGCATGGCAGTGATATCACTCTGCTCTCACTGTCTTTACAGTGCGGGAGAAGAGAAAGAGCCTCTACATCAACCATGTATGTACTTATCTTGATACACATTACTTTAGATTTGTTTCATTCATTTTTATGTATATATGTATTTAAATTAATTATATGTCAGTGTTCCTATACAGCTTGGGGTTATGTTTGCAAGTATAATTTTTTTTTCGCAGGTCTCATATATAGTTTTTAGTTCATTATATTTCTAATAGAGATTCTCTCATTCCCTGCCTCCAAACTGCATGTGTTCAAGATCTGGAAACAGTTTTCATTGTCACCCCTCCTTTCAGCCATCTAGGTGGCGTGTCTGAGTTAGTTTTACCATTCCCAATGTTCGTCAGCCCGACCGTACCCGGGGGGGGGGTGACATCACCTCCCTCCTCAGCCTCCCCAGCCCCCCATCATTCTTGGCTATGAGTAACTTCGAGGCTGATCACGATCCCACTTCCAGCTAGGATTTGGCCCCTGGTCGCCTCGCTCGCATTTGATCTCTGAGGCGTGACGAGGCATACGTGTGGGGGGGGGCAGACCGACCGCCATCCGTCTCTAGTAGCGCGTTTCATTGAGCTTCTGCGCGTGTCGCGGTAACGGGACTGCCTCCCGGGAGGTCACGCGTGCAGACAAACGTGGAACCAGCCTGCTAAGACCCAGCTGACACCCTCTAGCCTCTGGAGTAGCCTTCCCATCATGCCTATCTGTGGCGGTGGCGCGGTCAGCTCTCTGGGGCAGATGAGAACACCGTAAACACCCACATTGTTATGTTCCAGAAGCATCCAGGGCAGCTGCGGCGGAAATACAGCTCCTGCTCCACCATATTCTTAGACGAGAGCACTGTGAGTCAGCCCAACCTGAAGTACACCATTAAATGGTGAGTATCATGGCAGAGCGGAGATGCTTACTTATACCACAGGAGTGTATATGGGCACCCATACCTAAGAGGGACATGTTTACTTATACCACAGGAGTGTATACGGGCACCCATACCTAAGAGGGGCATGTTTACTTATACCACAGTAGTGTATACGGACATAATTCTAAGCGGGGCATGTTTACTTATACCACAGTAGTGTATACGGGCACCCATACCTAAGAGGGACATGTTTACTTATACCACAGTAGCGTATACAGGCACCCATACCTAAGAGGGGCATGTTTACTTATACCACAGTAGTGTATACGGACATAATTCTAAGCGGGGCATGTTTACTTATACCACAGTAGTGTATACGGACATAATTCTAAGCGGGGCCTGTTTACTTATACAACAGTTGTGTGTACGGACACATGTATCTAAGCGGGTGCGTGTTTATATCATAGTAGTGTGTACAGACACGTGTATCTAAGCGGGGCATGTTTACTTATACCACAGTAGTGTATATGGGCACACATACCTAAGCAGGGCATGTTTACTTATNGGGCATGTTTACTTATACCACAGTAGTGTATATGGGCACACATACCTAAGCAGGGCATGTTTACTTATACCACAGTAGTGTGTATGGACACGTGTATCTAAGCCGGGCATGTTTATTTATACCACAGTAGTGTGTATGGACACATGTATCTAAGCGGGGCATGTTTACTTATGTCAGAGTAGTGTATATGGGCACACATACCTAAGCAGGACGTGTTTACTTATACCACAGTAGTGTGTATGGACACACATACCTAAGCAGGGCATGTTTACTTATACCACAGTAGTGTGTACGGACACGTGTATCTAAGCCGGGCATGTTTACTTATGTCAGAGTAGTGTATATGGGCACACATACCTAAGCAGGACGTGTTTACTTATACCACAGTAGTGTATCCAGGCACATGCACTTAGCAGGGTGTGTTTACTTACACCACAGTAGTGTATCCGGGCAAACGTACCTAAGTGGGCCATGTTTACTTATACCACAGTAGTGTGTACGGGCACATGATTCTAAGTGTGAGATGTTTACTTATACCACAGCTGTATGTACGGACACATGATTCTAAGCGGGGCATGTTTACTTATATCACAGTTGTGTATATAGGCACGTGTATCTAAGCAGGGTGGGTTTACTTATACCACAGTAGTGTATACGTAGAGCAGAGTTTGCTGTTACCTATTTATGATTATATGTATAATTACAGTTATGTGGAGATACTGTCTGACCTTTTAATGTGGACATGCATAGTTATAGGTGGTTTGGCTACTGTAGTAGTCAAGTTATTCATTATATGAACATATCAGAATCTTCATTGCCACATGACCAAGGCCAGCTTGCCACTGTTGAAGACATAACAATAATGGAGAATAAATACAAGACACATGCGAGGGGAAAACACAAGGTGTGATAACTATGGCTGGTTGTGCACATTTAAGCCAACATACATACATGTAGTGCACAGCCTATATCGCATGAAATGTGCAATCATAATGTGTGAGCTGATTGTCAGGGTTCTGTGCTGATACAAATGGAAACATTTAAGATGCCCTGTTACAAAGTCTCTCATACCACTGACATCTTTCTCTGTTTACAGTGTAGCCCTAGCAATTTATTACCATATCAAAAACAGGTAAGGTCAGTTTCTGCTCCCGGCTTCTTGTTCATGCAGGTGTGAGGGTGGTTAGCACAGTACCATGTATGTGTGTGGGGGCCGTAGATGCCGACTGCTGTTACATGTGTGCCCCATTAACTTTGAAGTTGGAAGCGACTGTGGCGTTCTGGGGCTAAGGTCATACTAAAGGTGACGTGTAGCCTGGGTGCTAAATGTCATGCTCCTTTGAACTGGACCCCAAAGTGGACACTAGACTTTTAATAATTGATATAATCTGCCTTTAAACGCTGCCCAGAGAACTGGTGGGCTCCAGCGTCCTGGCACACGGCTTCAACATCGGCCTGCTTTAATAAGAAAGAATTTTTAAAGCAGGCCATAATCACCAACAGGAAGTGATGTCACTGGACATTACAGTATTGTAATTCTGCTGTGAAAGTGGACCATAACCTACAACAGGATGTGATGTAATTTTCACCGTCACTGGTGTTTTACTTGGTGTTTTCGTACTTCCAGTCTGCTTGTTTCCCTTTCCGGGGTCTGCCCCATGTTCGCTTCTTCGATAAGGCATTGCTAGATTCACAGGCAGTATTTCGGCCTCTGCATAGTTTCCCTACTTAATGTTTCTGCTCTTCCTTTCAGAGACACGGATGGACGAATGTTGCTGGACATTTTTGACGAAAAGCTGCATCCTCTATCGGTACAGCCTGCCGTTTGTCTGTTACCATGATGACATCTGCATTTTCCTGGCATGTCTCATCTCATGTGGACATGCTAGAAAATGATGTATTAGAAACAGTTGGGGGATTGGGGCCTTGCGGAAATAAGGATTTACCCTTTTGGCTTTCACACCCGCCTCCCCAGAAATCTGAAGTACCACTCGACTACGACAAACGCGACCCCGAACAGAAGCAGATCTACCGCTTTGTCCGGACCCTGTTCAGTGCTGCTCAGCTAACAGCAGAATGTGCCATCGTCACGCTGGTGAGGCATGTTCATATGCTAATAGACTTTCTCCTGACCTTAGCACCCCCCCCCCCCCCAACATTGATTGAGATTCCCCTTCAGCCTTCAGTAAAGGCGGGTAGTCCTACATGGCCCCCAGCAGCAGGAGGCTGCAGGCTCCTCTCCTCCTCCCTCTTCAACTCTCTGCTCAGGCAACGTCATGCGCAGTGCATT